TGCTTCAGCCTCAGCCTCAGTCTGCCTTCAGCCTCAACCTTAGCCTCAGCCTCAGCCTGCATCAGCCTCAGCCTCAGCCTCAGCCTGCCTCAGCATCAGCCTGCCTCAGCGTCTGCCTCAGCCTGCCTCAGCCTCAGCCTCAGCCTCAACCTCAGCCTCAGCCTCAGCCTGCCTCAGCCTCAGCCTGCCTCAGCCTCAGCCTCAGCCTGCCTCAGCAGCAGCCTGCCTCAGCCTCAATTGGCTACGGGCATTCAAAATGTGGCCCGGGAATGGAGTTCTGGGAACTCGAAGAGCACGAAGTGGCCTACAGTTGGCTCCGGGCATTCAAAATGTGGCCCGGGAATGGAGTTCTGAGAACTCGAAGAGCACGAAGTGGCCTACAGTTGGCTCCGGGCATTCAAAATGTGGCCCGGGAATGGAGTTCTGGGGACTCGAAGACCACGAAGTGGCCTACAGTTGGCTCCGGGCATTCAAAATGTGGCCCGGGAATGGAGTTCTGGGGACTCGAAGAGCACGAAGTGGCCTACAGTTGGCTCCGGGCATTCAGAATGTGGCCCGGGAATGGAGTTCTGGGAGGTCGAAGAGCACGAAGTGTGTGACTGTTGGCTTAAAACGACTTCTGCGGCACCCTGTCCGGCACCCGCCCAGACCCCCCTGTGGAGTCATCTGCTGCTCTCTTTTTAGCCCATTAGAAACCTATCAGTCTTCGCTGTTAGGTAATGAGAAACCTATCAGTCTTCGCTGTTAGGTAAAGACACACTGTGCCTCCAAATTCGGAGCATGTGCAGCGAACCCGATGCGGCCTCCCCCCGCCATCCCTGTCGGAAAACAATACAGAGTACACTTGGTGGCGGCGGCGGCGGCGGCGGCGGCTGCGGCGGGGGCAGCGGCTGCGGCGGCTGCGGCGGTGGCGGCGGCGGTGGCGGCGGCGGCGGCGGGGGCGGCGGGGCGGCGGCGGCGGCGGCGGCGGCGGCGACAGCTGGCGGCAGCGGCTGCGGCGCAGCGGCTGCGGCGGCGGCGATTCGGCAGCGGGGGCGACGGCGGCGGCGGCGGCGGGCGGCGCGCGGCGGCGGCGGCGGACGACGGCGGCGGGCGGCGCGGCGGCGGCGGCAGCGGACAGCGGCGGCGGGCGGCGGCGGCGCAGCGGCGGCGGCGGCGGAGGTGGCGGCGGCGGCGGCGGCGGATTCGCCCCCAGTAGCTGCCCATCCAAAGACGACTGCTGAATATGCTGCGGCTCGGGCCAGACTCGGATGCTACGTCTGTGATGGGAGGGCGGGTAAGGAATGAGCGAAACGGCCTGCTGGCGGGGAGGGAGTCTTGACCCCTCCCCCTACCCCCTCCCCTGGACCTGGACGGGGGGGCTCGCGAGGTGTCAGGGCGTCCAAAACGGCCTCGGCGAGGAAGCCAAAATCACTGGTTTTACTAAGGTTTTGGCCCCATTTTGGCCTCCTGAAGGGGGGGGGCCCTAATTAGGGACCCCCCTCCTGTGATCGATATCACCCAAGATGGCCCGAAGATAGCCCCCAAGGCTCCCAAGGGTGCCCCAAGAGGGCCCCAAGAGGTGGCCAGGAAGCCCCAAGAGGCCCCCAGGATGCCCCCAAGAGGCTCCCAGGAGACCTCCAAGAGGCCCCAAAAGACCCCCTAGAAGCACCCCAGATGCTCCAAGAAGCCTCGGCGAGGATGCCGAATCACTGATTATACTAAGGTTTTAGACACATGTTGGCCTCTTGGGGGGGGCACTGATTAAGATGACTCCAAGAGCGCCTGGCTGAGCTCAAAATGACCTCCCAGATGGCTCAAGATATCCCAAGATGTCTCATAATGGCTCCCACGATGCTCCAAGATGCCCCAAGACCGCTCCAAGACGGCTCCAAGTGGCCAAAGAGCTCCCCCAGGAGGAGGCCCCGAAGAGGCCAAAACCTTAGGAAAATCTGTGGTTGGCTTTCTCGCCTCTTCGCTTCCAATGGCCATCCGATGGCCATCCGAGGCCTCAAGATGGCTCCAAAATGGCCCAAGAGGGCTCCAAGAGAGGCTCAACCAAGAGAGCCCCAAGACGGCCCCAAGAGTGCCTAAGAGGGCTCCAAGAGCGCCCCAAGAGCACCCCAAGAGGCGATTGCTTGGGCTCCCGAGGGGCAACGCTAACTAATGTTCGCTGCTTGTTTGATCGATGTCCTCCAAGATGGCCCCAAGAGCGCTCCCAAGGCTCCCAAGAGCGCTTCAAGAGGGCCCAAAGAGGCGCCCAGGAGGCCCCAACAGGCGCCCAAGAGGCCTCCAAGATGCTCCCAAGAGACGCTCTCCGAGGCACCCAAGACGCTCCAAGAGGCCTCCACTGGGGGACCCTTCCTCTGTGTGCTGCCCACTTCCCTGATCGAGGCAATTCCTCTGGGCATCGTTTCTGGATGGGCTGGTGGGGTTACTTTTTAGTCAGCGGCCGCAGGCGAGCGCGCCAGCGGCGAGTCCAGTAGAAGCGGGGCACGCAACCACGAATTAGCCTAAAGCGACGGGGCGCAGCCACACCTGAAGCGGCGGACAGAGCCTCACGCAGCACATCGGCGGCGAACTGGCGAGTGGAAGGGGCTGGCTGTAAGCTGAAACAGTACTGCCAGGGTGCAGGTATGCAACGCGTCGGAAGCTGCAGGTAGACGGGGGGACCGTCGACCAGGGACAGCAGCAGACGTGGAATTAGATGCAAGGGCGCAAGCCCCCTGACAACTGCGAAGGTACCAGGGTGGCCGCAGCCAGTGAACCGACTGTCGGATGCCGAATTGGGTGCCCAGAGGGGACGTAAGCGTTGGCAAGCTGCGAAGTACCAGGGTGGCCGGGGACAAGAGGTCCAACCGCAGCAGAATGCACAAGTGCGAGGAGCAGCTAAGCTGCAGCGCGGCCAAGAGCGAGGGGCTGGTGGGGTTACTTTTTGGTCGCGGGCGGACGCGGAAACGCAGTCGCCGAAGGAGGCTGGTGGGGTTACTTTTTTTGATTTGCGGCCCGCAAGGAGAAGTCCAGAGGGCGGTATGAGGCAAAGGGGCGCTGGTGGGGTTACGCGAAGCGTCTAGAATTTGTCAAAAAAATACTCAAGAAAACGCTCAACAATTCTCAAAAAATCGTCACTAGACTATTTTTTGACTATTTTTGAATGTTCCTCCTGTAGAGGGACTGGCCCGACTCAACAGAAAACACGCGGCGCAGCTTAATTCTGACGGTGGGACGCATGTCTATATCCACGGCGTGACGGACTCGGACCCACTCAGCCATTTTAGGGGGCCACATGCGAACCCTACCCCTACCCCCCCCTCAGAAATCGCGGGGGGTAGGGGTAGGGTTTGCATGTGGCCCCCTACATTTACCCCTGGATACAGGGCGGTTCTGCGCGGATGCCTGGCGCGCTGAAGGTATCCATCGGATCCCGCATCCACACGATCGGGCCTTGGTATCCCATCCGCGAGGGCATTGGCATGGACCTGGGTGTGCTCGCTCCTCGTGGGAACTGCTCTTCCCCTCCGACCGTTCTTCCCGTCGCCTCCCTCCGCCTCCCAGGGTGAGGGGCAACGATAGGGGGGGATAGGGACAGGGGGGAAAACATCGACCTGGAATCGGCGATACACCGCCGATACCTCGGCGATAGGCCTCCGATAGTGAATCCGCACGTTCATAGGGGAGGTTGGGGCTATCGGACACCACCCGGCGATCAATGGGCGTTTGGGGTCGAGGCATCCCCCCCTATGCCTATCCCTCCCTATCGTTGCCCCTGACAGGGGTTGACGGCAAGGGGGGTCGCCTATTCTGTCGCGGGCCCGGCGAGCGCGCGGGCCGGACAAGCGGCCCGGGGGCGCTGGGCAGCGAGCTGCGCACTGCCGGGGGGCAGGGCAGAGAGAGGCAGGGCGGCGGCCGGGGGGAGGGGCGGGCGGGGGGAAGGCGAGGGCAGCACCAAGGGAGCCAGGCGAGTCGGCCGCACGAGTCTGGCTTCCGCGCGTCTCGCAGCGCTGGCAACGTCCGAGCATCGAGCGAAGTGCTTGGCGGCGAGGCCGATTCCAACTGCACTGCTCCCACCACCACCAGCTCCACCTCCTCCTCATCCTCCTCCTGCTACTCTTCCTGCTCCCAGTCCTCCAGCCCTCCTCCAATCCTCCTCCAATCCTCCTCCAATCCTCCTCCAGCCCTCCTGCGATCCTGCTCCAATCCTCCTCCAGTCCTCCTTCAATCATCTCCTCCAATACTCCTCCAATCTTCCTTCAATCCTCCTCCAATCCTCCTGCAATCCTGCTCCAATCATCCTCCAATCCTCCTTCAATTCTCCTCCAGTCCTCCTCTTCCTCTTCCTCTCATCCCCCTCCTCGTCCTCCTCCGACTCCGACTCCGACTCCGCATCCTTGGCACGCACCTATCGTTGAGATCGGCCGACGGCCCTGGACGCGACATGCATATGGGGGTGCTCCCATCCGGAGGGCTCCTCTGAGCATCCGTGTGGAACAGGGCTGAACCTAAGCGGTGTTTTTCGTTTTCGTTTTGTCTTCGTTTTCCCTAGCTTTTGTCTCCAATCCGCCTCTGCTGCGAAACGAAGTCAAATCGAAAACGGCCCACGAAGTCACAAAAACACCGTTTAGGTCAAGCCCTGATGTGGAAGGCGAGGCGAAACGACGCGCCCACATTACGTCCAAAGAAGGATGGCCATACGGGAGCGCCGCGGCTGGGCCAAAGCCCGGGATACACGTTAGATCCCTGTGTGATCCATGAGCGTGAGAGCTTGCCGAGGAAGAGGGCGGGCGACGACGACGAACACGACGACGACGACGACCACGACGACGACGATGGCGACGACGAGCAAGAACCGGCACAAATTCGCAGAAGACCTATACTGCAGACGAGGCTGGCCGGACGCCAACGCCATACTGACCCATGAGGGAGGCGACAGTCCGCCTGGGTGCCAGCGACAGCGCGAACTTCCCTCCCTCCCTCCGCTTCCCCTACTCTCTCCCCCCTCCGCGCGCCCGGGGAACCCCAGCCTTGCAAACTTGATAGCTCTCCATGGCCATGACCAAGAGCTGCCCGGGCAGCAGCCAGCACGCCGCTCTCACTTTCTGTGGGGGGGGCAGGAGGGCCGCGGCGGGGGACCGAGCTCACCGTCCTCACACTTCCATCTCTATCTTCCCTTCTCCTCCTCCCCCCTCCCTCCTCATCCACCTCCTTCCCCTCCTTGCCCTCCTTCTCCACCATCTCCCCCTCCTTCTCCTCTCCCTCCTCCTCCTCCTCCTCCTCCTCCTCCTCCCTCCTCCTCCTCCTCCTCCTCCTCCTCCTCCTCCTCCCCCTCCTCCCCCTCCTCCTCCTCTGAATAGCTTCAACTGCTTCAGCAAGCTTGGCCTCAGACGGTGCGCGGGGGCTGATGCCCAGGACCTTTTCCGCCCAGAGGCGGCCCTAGGGCCACCCAGAGGCCACCAGCAGGCATCCCAGAGACCTCATGGAGGCACAAAAGTTGGCGGCGAGCCAGAGGGGGAAATGAGAAGGAGAAGGCCTTCTCAGAAGGTGGCAACACTTCTCAGAAGCCCTCGCGCCTTCTGAGAGGGTTTCTGTGTCTTCGAGGAAGGCTGAGGAAACTTCTCGGAAGGCCAGAGGCCTTCCGAGCCTTCTGAAAAGGCCCGCCGCTTTTCACTTCCCCACCTCGCTCGCCGCCGACAAAAGGGTTCCCAGAGGCCACCTGGAGGGCCTGAACGCGTGGCTGCGGATGGGCCGCAGACCACAGACTGAGAAATTGCTGAATGGGTGTCGCGTCTGTACTGCCTGAGCCAGTGGGGAGCATCTGACACGCGTTCTTCACCAGAACGCCGAAACGATTGCCGCATGCAGCTGCTGAAGTCCAGGTGCCTGACCAGCGATACATGGAACTAAAACTCTGACTGAATGAATGCAACATACATGATGCACGAGCGCACGACGCCCGGTCGATGCTTGCACAACTCGTGTTTCACGCACTCCCATACGGCATTACAACTATCGTTTCAAACTTCACTCCCTCCTCGGCCTCGCCACGATCTCCATTCACACGGCGCACTCTTTTGGATTACTGAGGCACGTCCAACTTCCACTTTCTCATCCACATTTTATCCGCATCCTCCTCCCCCCATCCGACCGAACTCCAAAAACCGTTGGAACCCCATTGAGTTCACACAGCAGCCAAGAAACCCCGAACACATGCCTGATCCTTCCCATAGGAATGCCCGCACCTTAGGGCCATCACCCATGCTCCAAGGAACTGGCCCGCGGTGTCAGTCGGCCGTCCCTGGCGGGTGCCCCAATGCTTGGTGATCTGCGCGCATTAGTGCTCTGTGGGGGGTGGCCGCCCACGCCGCAGGAGGACTTTTCCGGTCGGTGCCACATGGCTGGTGCCCTGTGGATGGTGCTGTGTAGTTCCATCTGGGCCGCAGTCTGCGCTTCCCGCTCGGTCCGCTGCCATATTTTGCTCGCGGCTCGGCTGCCGCGAACCCAGTCCGAGGAGGAACTCCGGACCTAGTTCTCTACACGGGCAGCCGGGAGGCGAAGCCTCCTGTAGCCGGTCGTCATTTCTGCGGCCGGGGTATCGATTTATGCTAGCAGCGTGCGGCCGGGGCTTCTGGCCGGAATCATCCAACGGTCACCTATGGAACATCCGCTCCCCCCCCAGAGGGGGGGAGAGGGGGGAGGGAAGGGGGGAGAGAAGGGGGGGGGAGGGGGGAGGGGGGAGGGGGGAGGGAGGGAGGGGGGGGGAGAGAGAAGAGGGAGGAAAGGGAAGGGGGGGGGAGGGGAAAGGGAAGGGGGGGGGAACGGGGCGGACCCAAGGCGGCAGCGAGGGAGGGAGGGGGCAAGGGCCGTCCAGGCAGGGCGGACCAGAGTTGTTTTTCTCGTAGGCGGTCGCAAAACAGAAGGAGCAGAGTGGTCAGCCTGCGTAGATCCGTCTGTCGCCGAAGCGCAGCCCCACCCCGTGTGTTCCTGCTGGGGGAACGGGCGGTGGGGGAAAACGCTCTCGATATAACAAGGGGTGGAGTTTCTTCATCCTTTGCCACGCCGTGACTCGTAGGAGAAGACTATGAGAGGTCAGTGTAAGATCGAGCGCTGTGTCTTCGAGCCATGGCCGGGGCGGCACGACTGAAGTCCGCCAGAGGGTGTTTGCGGTATGCTCGTACCCCTCGCCAGCCTTCCTTGGTCTCCCGACGCGTTTGGGGCCATAGTCCCAAGGCCGGAGCATATGTGGGTCGAAACTGCAGAAAGCGACTGGGTCCGCTGCGGGGGCTGAGCCCAAATACTTCACCGTCTCCGCGGACGGAACATGTGTGCCATCCCGGTATTTTATCCGACTTGGCTGTCCGATGACCATGAGTTCACATTTTGTCTTATTTAGGATAAGCCCGAAACGCGCGCTTTCTTTTACAATGGCGGGCACCATGCGCGCGATTTGAGATTTATTGGAAGAAACGCACAACGTGTCGTCAGCGAACAGTACTGCCTCGAATGTAACTCCGGGCGGACGCCCTAACGAAAGCGACGCGCCGTGCCTGCTGTAGATGTCCTGGAACAGCACATGCATAACGATCAGAAAAAATACGGTGAGAGAGGGCAGCCCTGGCGGATCCCAGCGTCCTGGCGGCGCCATTTTGATTCGTAGTTGTCCATGCCTACCTGGAAAGTGGGGTTCCTATACAAGGCTTTCACAACGTTAACGATTTTTGCCGGCAGCTGCATGCGCTCCAGAGCGCTGAATAAGGCTTCGTGCGCGACGCGGTCGAACGCCTTTTCCCAATCGAGGAGCAGCAGATAGAGCGGAGAGCCCTGCTTGTAATTTCGGGCGCTGGCGCCTGGGTGAACCATCTGTCTGACGATCTTCAAGGCTTGGGGCGTGCTGCGCCGTGCCCGAAATCCAAATTGCGTCGGTTGTAGGAGGTGGTCAATCTTCTTGGCGATGCGGTCTTTGAGGACCCCCGCAATGAGTTTATATAACGAGCTCGGCAGGGAGATGGGGCGGTAGTTGTCGAGGTTGGCAGCGCTGCCCTTGTTCTTGAACAGGAGCACCACCCTGCCCGCCAACATATCGTCCGGTACGAACTCATCGGGCCACCATTGATTCAGAAAGTCGAGGACGCTTTGGAGGTTGTCGTTATCGAGTTCGCGGATGAGATCCATGGACAAACCATCTGGGCCGGGCGCCTTGTGTCGTTTCCATTTTTTTGAGAAGCGATGTTTACCCCGGCAACGCGATGGGGCCTGTTTCGACTGGCAGGGTGCTGTCGACGAGCTGGGAGGATTCAAATTTGGGGCGGTACCTGTCCGGTTTCCTCCATTGCTTGGTTGCCAGATGGGCGGCCGCAGCCTCTGCCCGCAAGTGTACTGGGACGGGCTTGCCATCGACTTTAGTGCGGTATGGCAACGGACGATAACCAGTTCTCAGCTGTCGAATACCCAAACATCTCTCCCTTATGTCGAGTGTTTTGGATAACGTGTCTCTGATGTGTTGCTTTTTGGCAAGCTTGATGTCTTTGTGAATTTCCTTGCACAGCACTTTGTACCTGGCGTGGTCGCCAACGCGCTTGGCTTCGGTGCGCTCCACGAATTTCCGGTCCAGTGCAGGGGAGATGCTGAAATAGCGGTTGGCCGGTGGTCCAAATCCGTGAGCTTCCGATTGCGCGCTTGTCGGGCCTCGCGATCCGGCGCATGCCACTGCGCCGGCGGCTTGAGTGAGGCGTGTCTCATTGCCTTGAGTCTGACACGAATGGTACTCACCAGCGGGAAGTGGTCGGGTTCCAAGCCCGACACGGGTCGGCTTCACAATTTCAGATACTGTTTTTTCCAACGCTGGGGTGTGATGCCACAATCGAGCGCCTCCTACCTGGGTCGGTGCCATGGCGGCTCAACCTCCTGGTCTTTGTGTTGGAGGTATGCGCATAGCTTACGCTGTGGTTTCAAAAAGAATGCGTTGCTGAGCTGGAGGCGGTGCTGTCCACAGAAGTCTAAGAGATGCTCTCGGTTGTCGCTGACCTCCGGGGTCTGCGACTCGAGAGAGGCGTGTTCTCGGTCGAAAGTGTGCCAGCCAACCACCGCCGGATCGTCTCCTGAGTTGATTTTTGCACCCGTGCATTCAAGTCGCCGAAGAAGTATGTAATGCAGCTGCGCTTCACGGGTTTATAGGTTTGCTGGACAAGTGACCAGGAAGCGCCTTTACTTTCCTGGCTCGCGTCGGCCGCGGACGCGTAGAGGCCTACTAAGGCCAATGGGCGGCCCGGGCACCGAAATTTCACAAGTACGATGCGCTCTGATACGGGTTGTATGTCTAAAATACTCTTCGCAAGACGTTTGTGCAGAACGGCAGAAATGCCGCGCCTTTGCGGGCCCGACGGCTGCTCCGTGGAGCTGCGGCACCAAAGAGTGTCCTTGCGGACTTCTCTACCGTTGTGGGGGGCGTGCGATTCTGGGAGAAAGACAATGTCAACGCTCCTACGGCGCATCCAACGCGTTTGCCCAGCTTTTGAATGCCTTGGGGGCTAAAGGCACTGCAAGTTGGGTACGCTGTGGTAGCTTGGGAGGAAGGGAACGACGACCTTCCTGAGCTTTCTGGGCGGGCCGAGTGGAGGAATTCTCTGACATCCGCAAGCGACGGCATGCCGCTCGACGCAAGGAGCGCTGCTTCTGGCGCCCGGCGATCGACGCGGGCTTGCGCGGGCCTCGATTTGCGTTTCGCAAGCGGTGGGGTGCGCCGAAAACCTCCGGTTGAGGCTCGATCGGTTTCCGCCGGGCGGAGATCACCCGCGGCTGACCCGCACGGCCACTGACGGCGCAGCGGTGCCTCAGCAGCAGCGTGCGACTATATTGCAGGACGGTCTGGTCCGACGCTGCAGGGGCCCGGCAGGCCCGCCGGGAGCACCCCGCCCCATCTTGCATCCCTGCCACAGCCCATGGCCGGAGAGACGGGGGCGTCAGGCCCGAGCTGGCCCCGCCGTGTCCAGGAGCCCTCTGTCCACGACGGGCCACCTGCGGAAAAGCAGCGTTGAAACTCATATTGAGGCGGCGACGCAGTGGCGCAGACTTCCCCAGCGCGGGGATCTGCGCTTGAGCCTGAGAACTTGAGCCAGAGTGAAGAGGAGGAGGTGCCCGCAGTGGTTCGCCAGCCGCGACCTCCGCGAAGGGTCTCCGCGAACCCCCGGAAACGAACCGGGGGCCCGAAAAGGCGCCGGGGACGGGGTCGAGAGGTCCGGAGAACGACGTTACGAAAAACTCCTGCCTTCGATGGTTTGGGGCCCTGCTCCCGGGCAGCGAGGCGGGGGGGGTCCGAGGGAGGGGGGGAGAGGATGTTCCGAGCTACTATGCGTGTCCGGCCTAGCCTGCCGAACTGCTGGACCGCGGGTGTTCCTGTATCCGGCCTGCGGCCCCTAGGTCTCCTTCTTGGCCTTCTTCTTGGTATTCGGCTTCTCCTTGTCCTTCTCCTTCTTGCCGCCTCCGGAGGCAGCAGCGCCGGCAGAGGCCGAGGCGGCGGCGGCGGGCGCCCTGCTGGGGCGGCCCCTCTGGGGGGCTCTCGTCAGCAGGCTGCCGTCGACGATCTTGGTCTCAATCTCGAGTGGGAGCACGACCGCGTTGCGCAAGCTGTCTTTGAAGAGCGGGAGGAGGTCGCTGCCCTTGGCGGCCCCCTTCGCGAAGGGGATGCTCTCGGCGATCAGGATGGCCATACACTTGCTGTCGTCCCCGCGGTGCCCCGCGGAGCCCCGTGCGATCACCACGTCGTCCTCCGCGTCCTTCCCAGCAGCGGCCCTCGCATCCCACTCATACTCAGACGCATCGAAACCCTGGAAGCTGTGCCGGATGTGCCGCGGGCGCCCGAGATTAACGGAACCTGCCTCTGCCATTTGGTAAAGAGAGCTGTGGAAGACCCGGGCAGGCCTTCCGAGGTGCTTCGCGGACTCGCCAATGCAATTCAGCACCAGGAACTTGAACGATTTCTCCCGGGCGAGATCTATGAGAACCGACTTTAACTCTCCCTTTTGCGTCGCTGTTCCAAGCCTCAACCAGAACCTCGCCCCCCATGACAACCTGCCGGGACACCAACTTCCGGATGTCCTTGGACTGATCAACTGCTACCTGAAACTTTTTCACCTCAGAATGGAACGCGGGGATGTCCATGGGGCCCTTCCGGCGAATGGACAAGTGTCCGATCCTCTTCTCTTTCTCTGCTTCAGTGTGGAGCTGGCCATGGAAATCCGCCGATCCGGCGCGTGAGTTTCAAGGAGTCTCAGCTACAGCCTCGAGGCTGAGCCTCAGCCCCTGGAGGGGTTGCCGGGGTGGCTCTGCCGGGGAAGGGGGGGTGGGGGGGGGGGGGGGGGCGAGTTTCCGGCGGATGCGTTTTTTGACACCTCTCACAAAGATCGCGGCCTCCGAGGGGGGTCCGAACTCGAGCACCACCCCTCCCGCACCAAGAGGCTCCGAGGAGGCCTCCAAGAGGCCCCAAGGGGCGCAGAAGAGGCCCCCAAGAAGCCCCAAGAGGCTCCCAGGAGACCCCCAAGCTGCCAGAATTCACCGTCGGCCTAGTCTTCCATTTCGAGATCCAAGCCTTCCCAGAGGACCTGCTGTGGGGACTGGTGGTTCTTGCCCTTCCGGAGAGCGCCCATGGCATCTTCATCCAAACTGCCTTCCGCGATGGACGACCGGACTCTGCCCATGAAGGTTTGGACATCTTCGAACTTGCTGGTCTTGAGCAGCTTGGCCTTCATGACCGAGGCCCTGGCTGTCAGTCGCTTACGAGATTCCTCCGAAGCCATCCCAGCAGTAGAAGTGAGAAGCACTGCGAGAAACACTGCAAGACATGAGAGACACTACAAGATATGAGAAACACTGCAAGACATGGGTGTATGAGAAAGTACACAAGCTGAGAGTTCGGTGCCGGGAATGTGTGTCCTGTCTGAGCCTCCGTGCTCCGCTGCCATATGGTAACTGATATGGTTGCTGTCCTACGGTGCGCTGGGGTGCCCTAGTACTGGCGCCCTGTGGTTCGTGCACTGTGGCTGGGGCACTACGGTTGCCCTATGGTTAGGTCGGTATGGCTTGGGGTCGGTCTTTGGGGCCCACGCACCGGCTTCAAATTCCTCCTCCTCCTCCGTTTCCTACCAGCTCTCTACCCCCTTCTCCCGCCTCCTCGCTTCTCCTCCTCGTCCTCCTTCTCCTCCGCGTCCTCGTCCTCCTCCTCCTCCTCCTCCTCCTCCTCCTCCTCCTCCTCCTCCTCCTCCTCCTCCTCCTCCCCTCCATCCCCCTTCCCTTGCAATCCTCTTGCTCCCCCCATGTACATCAAATCCGAGAACCTTCGAAAACCTCCGAACCCCGAGGACGAAATACGCCTCCTCTTCCTCGCCCCCTCCCTCCTCCACCTCCTCCTCATCCTCCGAACGTCCTCCGAAAGTGTCCTCCGAAGCTCTTCATCTTCCTACTTCAAAGAAAGGTTCATCCTCCTCCTCCTCATCATCATTCTCCTCCTTCTCCTCCTCCGCCTCCTCCTCCTCGAGGTGGGCGCCTTCTCCGGGCTCAGGAGGAAGACAAACGCGACGTTGTTCATAGCGTTCTCGACGAAACTGAACACATAGAAGACGCACCTTTTCGGAACGCCGCAGCCGAGGCCCCCGCGGTCGGTCGGCGGGGCGAGATCGGCAGACGGGAACGTCGAGAGCCTCAGCCCTGCAGATGATGAAAGAACAACACAGCCTTCAACATGTAGGGAAGAGGAAGAGAAGGTCGAGAAGAGAAAGACGACGATGGCGGTGATGACGAATAACTATGACGATGAAGATGACGATGACGACAACGACATGAAGGGCAAGGCGATGAAGGCACTATGGGTGTGGGTGCGAGCTGTCGGACCCCCAAATGGGTCTCCCGTTCGACCGGGGGCTCCCATCCGACAACTCACACTCGTGGCCCAGAAAGAGATCCAACCCCCGAAACCTAGAGATCGAATAGGTCTGGGTGCTACTTGGCAGCTTATAGGCAGAAGGCTCCCCATGAACGCACAAGGTGAAAAAAACTCAAAAACGCCGGGTGTTGTTAGACGCGGTCATCGCTTAGCTTCGACCGGAAGAGGTGCGCTCTCGACCAGCGAATCAAAAAAAACTGTTGTTAGACGCGGTCACGGCCCAAGGTGCTCCCAGCTTTTCGCTCCATTTTGATACTATGGGGCCCTGTGGGCCTCGTGAGGGGTGCTGCGGGGACAATATGCGCATTCCTGAGAAAGCTGGGCTCACTTTGGGCGAAATTGTTGCGCTTATGCCGTCTCTTCCATCTAGAATCGAGAATTCTGAATCGCGAGGAGCTCGTGAGCGTCCAAATGGCATGCCAAAGGAATGCGCCGAAAACCAAAGGTGTCACGCAGGGAGAGGCGAGAAGGAGGGGCGAGATGGAAGGAAGAGGAGGGGCGGGATAGAAATGCAACCAGAGCCGCAGAGCACAAGTTGCCCCAGCTGCGAAACCATGGGAATCAACAGGTACGGAGAGCCTTCGCTGCTAGGAAAATCGCAACCCCCATGGCCAGTCGGACAAAAACGGCAAGCGCTGGCTGGCATACATGTTTAAAAAAATAGAAAGAGAATGGGCGTCCAGGGCGACGGCATAGCCGCAAACTGGCCAAACCGACTGCGAAACTCAAACCGACCGAAACCGACAGGCCGCAAGCACCCTAGTATACGTCCGCAGCGACGCAACAACGACACAGCAGACGATCGAGTCAAGCCGACCGGACGCAACAGACTGCGACGCGGCCGTACCGACCAAACCGCAGACACCTTGCGGGGGTGGAACGGAAGTCCGAACAAGGGACTCACTCGCAAACCATACGCCGTCTGGCGCGTGGGCAAGAAAACAAGCGCAGACATTCGTACACGGAAATGGGTGAAACGCGGCACCGGCTGAATGGGGACAGAGGAGGAGGAGAAGAAGAAGGAGAAGAAGGAGAAGAAGGAGAAAAAGGAGAAGGAGAATAATAATAATAAGACAGAGAGAGAGAGAGTGGGCGAGAGGGAGAGAAAGGAAGGGAGTGAGAGAGAGAGAGAAAGAGGGAGAATGAGAGGGAGAGAGAGAGAGAGGGAGGGAGGGAGAGAGGGAGAAAGAGAGAAAGAGATGGAGGGAAAAATATAAAAAGAGAGGGAAGGAATGAGCGAGAAGCGACAACGCTTGGGAGCCCAACAGATATCGAGGCGGAAAAAAAAGGCAGGAGAACTAGAAGGGGGAGGAGAAGGAGGAGGAGGAGGCAGGAGGCGGGAGGCGGGAGGCAGGAGCGGCAGCGGCAGCGGCAGCGGCAGCGGCGAGGGGGGGCACAAACAGTGGTGGCAGCAGGGGAGAAAAAAAAAGGAGGGAGGAACGCAAAAAAACTGTAGCCTGACGAAGAACTGCAGCGGGGCCGTTTGGGGGCTTGGTTTGGGGGTTTTGACTGGCCCCCCGACAGTACCATCCAGATGGCCCTCTGGGATGCCACTGTCGGAGGGCATTGTGGGCCCCTCTTGAGCGGGCGGCTCAGTTTGCCAGGACTGCATTCGCGTCCTCTTCCCGCAGGGACCCCCAAGGCCCCAAGAGGCCCCAAGGACCCCAACAGGTCCCAAGGCCCCAATGCCTCCAGGAGCCCCCAAAGCCCCAAGAGGCACCCAAGAGGCCCCCAACAGGCCCCCAAGCCCTGAGGCAACCCCGACAGGAGGCCCCGAAACCCCCAAGAAGCCCGGAAATGCCGCCACGAAGCACCAGGGATGTTCCCCAAGAGATCCCAACAAGCCTGCCAACAAGGCCTCGCGCCCACGACCCCGTCTGGCCGAAGGCCACTAAACACTATACACACTGTGCACGCCGACGGGTGGCTCTCAATTTGGCAGGCCCCCTGCGAAACCTAGTCGTGTTTAAATGAAGGAAGTGAGAAGCATGCATGAAAACATGCTGGGGGCGGTTTCTAATTTTCCGCGAGCCTAAAGATGACCTGGCGACCGAGCCACGCGAGCGAGCCTGTCGGCTGCTCGGCCCTGTACAAGGCATTGGTGGACAATCAATCTACCAACAAGACAACCTGTGAGGTATTAGCAGAATTGACAACTGGGGCTCTGGAAACATGGATGCGCTCTCGACTCGGATGAAGAGCAGAAGGGGGGGCAGGGAGGGAAGGGGGAGAAAGGGGGGAGGAGAGGAGTCATCACAACGTCATCATGCAGAACTCGACGCAGTGTTTCTCCCCGCCAGGGGGTCGCAGCGCCTGGAACATCTGCGCCGACGTACGCACAGAACTGCTTGATGTCATCGCACCATTGCAACGGCGATCTGCCTTGCACTCGCGCGCGAGCAGACTGCAGATGTCGGCGAAACGGGCGCCCATGTTTCAATTCCTCCGCAGAGGAGCCGGCGAGCCAGACGCCACTTCGAGGAGAAAACCCTCTCCGACACGTCTGGGGAGGCTGCCGTAGACAACATGTTCGACACTCGCGTCTGCATCCTGCGCGTCGCGCGATGCCATCTCTCGCCTTCCGCTCTACTCCAGCCAACCATATTTCGGAGCATATTTGTCCACGCCCCTGGGAACGTGGCGTGGCACTGCAGCTTCAGCGCCAACCTGGCCAACCCGCACATCAATAATGGCACGACTATGGAATTCAAGAGTTTGGCACGGTAACTTGCGCGGACATGTTGGTTCATGAGTATGTAACGTTTCTTCTGAAACTGATGTCGTGCCACTGGCATCCTCTTCTTGGCGGCAGTTGCTGTCCTGTTCTTCGACGAATTGAAGGCCCCCCCAACCGAAACTATGCGTGGACTAGTCCGGAGATACCATGCTAAAACAAAGGCTTGCAGTCCATTCGATGTCTCGAATGCCGGGTGGCGCAGCAACGTCCCTGGAGGATAAAATGAGTGCCCTCGCGGCGCCCAGTTGCAGCCCCACGGCATGGAACCCCTCAAGTCAGAGCGACACCATAACCTTGGCGCCCTCCACTGAATGGGCGCGAGAGCAAAACATCGCCTGCAAATCGAACGCTCGCGAGGCGTTATGCCCGCCCTGGGAATGCCCATCCCTGCGCGGCGAAGCGGCCCCTCACCTGCTGAACGCCGTCTCCATTACTGCATTGAATAAACACAAACTCAAGACGCCCCCCTGGCCAGAAAAGCTGAAAGACATCGCTCGTGCCAGCTTGGCCCGACCGTCCACGGCACAGCTCTTGCAACAAGCAAGGGCAGGTCTCATCTACAACTTGCTGCAAGATGGCGTCGGCAACCCATTCGCGAATTACTTTATCAAACGCGCTGCTGAGGTCCAGGTTGAACGCGCGGGCAAATGCCAAATGCTCCACGCAATGCAGAAACTCGTCAGCGCCGAAGCAGGGCCAACACGCACATGGGTTTGCCCCTGCGCTGCTTCCACCCTCGGCGAAATCCTCGATCAGAGCACGCGGGCCAGAATCTTGCACGAGATCTTTTGCAGTGCGACGGCGCGCCGCTTGCACGCTCAAGCCACACCTCCGGGAAAGCCCTGTCGCTTCGACATGTGCTGCACTGATCAAGAATGAGTTTATTTGCCGGTGCTAAATGCAATCTAAAGCAGCCCCGTCGGCATCCGCGACCTCGTTGCGCCGAAGCCGCCCTGAGATCTACGGCGCTGAATAGAGGAGCGTCGCGGAGAGCACTTCGCGGCAGCGGTCCTTGAGCGAGCGTCCCCCTCGAACACATGTTAACAAGAAGCCGCGCAAACTCCTCGTCGCATGGCCGTTCGGCAAGGAATTCCCGCTCAACTAGAACGCGCAATACAACTTCCAAACGAATGAAACCTTCAAACCGAAACAAGATTTGCATGACTTGCCGAGTCTTCCAGCCCCGAGCTTTTGTCTGAAGCATCCGCTCCCAGCGCCAGTGCAACGCCTTCCTGTTGAAAGGGTGAAAGGGCATCTCTCCTGATCCCGGTCATTTGCCGCGAGCAGGACAACATCTGCATTCCAGGTGTTCGGGGTCGTCGCTGTCTGCACCAAAAGATCTGATGGTTTTTCGATATCCCTGAAATTGTCAGCAGTATGCCTGGGGACCCGGAAATCAACTGGATCTGCGCATCGCTGAATGTCCTGGCCAGACGCAGAAGACCACTTGCATCGAGAACTTTGCTGTCTGCTTGATAATTCTCTGGAACCCTGAACTCTACGGTATCGGATGCCGCACGATGGTCGAAGCCACAATCAAAATGATTTGTGTTGCCATTCGCAATGCATCTGGCGCGCGAGCCTACAGGGATGTAGTCGAAACAACGGCATTTGCCATCGTTTCGAAACGTCCATTCCCCAGAGCTGCTACAGAATGACAATTTTGCCCTCGAGACAAAATCCAGCACATGCTGCTCTGTCTGGGAATCGCCTCCGACTATTCAGGTTCGCGCTGGCCGGCAGCAGGCAGACAGCTGTGCGTATATTGCGCCCACGAACATGGCAAAGTAGCTGGCATTCGGAATGTACGCTGCGATTGTTCTGCACGTTTTTCCGCGCAGCTCCAAATCGACGTACATGTGGTCGCTGATGTCAATGTAAAAATGTCGTTACCGATGTGTTTGGCGCTGGGGAAGACACCAACGCCTGTGGTATCGTGGCGTTTG